GTTTACCCAAGAGAAATATAAACATGTGGCAAAAAAGGAAAAAAAAAAACTTCTACAAAATTGTTTATAGATTCAAAACAGGCAAAAAAAATTGGAAACAATCCAAATGACTATCAATAAATGAATGAATAAACAACTTGTGGTATACTAATACAATTAAATATGCTCAGCAATGGAAAAGAATAAACTAATACATACACCATGAATAAATCTCAAAAACATCATACTGATCAAAAGAAAACAGACACAAAAGAATATATGTTATATGACTGCATTTACATGAAGTCCAAAACCATGCAAAACTAATTTTTGTGACAAACAAGAACAGTAATTGCATAGAACAGTAATTGCATATAGGGGATGAGTAGTGACTGGAAAGGAGTTATATTAAGGATACTTTCTAAATATTCTCTGTTAAGGTCTGTAAACAAGTCAAAATAACACCTGGTATTTTGCCAGGGGAATTTAGAGTTCATAAACAAGTCTGGATGGTGCCTGGCAAAATGCCAGAGGGAGTGGTTTGAGAAGTAACAAAAGAGAACCATTAAGTGTGGAGATTCCTTATTGGTTGACTCATGTATCTAGTTTATGCTAATTAAGATAAGCTGTGCAAAATGTATAAATACCTCTGTTGTCCTACAATAAACGGCTCCTACTCCTGCTGTATCAACATACACAAGTTGTTCGTCACCCCCCCCCCTTATTCTGCTGCAGCGGGATGGCAATTCTCTATTTTTGAAGTCAGATTACCCAAATGTATACAATTTGTCAAAACTCACTCGAATACACTTAAGATCTGTGTATTTCATTGTAAGTTTTACCTAAAACAAACAAACAAAAAAAACTGAATTAAAAAATAAAATCTAAACCAGAAAGATACACATTTACAAAGACTACCATAATTCCAGCAGTGGATGTGCTAGATTCAAGTCCTGTTTCTGTTGATTAGTCAGAAAGCAATCAAGCACCAGTGTATGCTGAATCTGACATAAAACAAATTAGAGTGAAACTAGTACATAAGCCAATTTCTTCCATTTGGGCTACATAAATTATAATAATGACCTTGCTGAAGATAAGCAAAGAAAAAATATTCATAGCACTATTATCATCAAAAATTGAACCAAAGGTGGGCTTCCTTAAAAACCAGAATTGTGCAGTACATGATGAAAAAAAATATTTAAAAACATACTATTTTATGTAGAGGTGAAAATAGTTTTTGCTGAGAGACTCCAAACCTACCCCTTCTATACATAATTTTTCTAACAACATAAAATTAATTAATCTGACAGCTATTGTTTTTTAAAATATATTTTTAGTTACTGATGGACATAATAACTATTTATTTTCTTTTTTTATTCAATGTGGTGCTGAGGATCAAACTCAATGCCTCACAACTGCTAGGCAAGCACTCTACCACTGAGCCACAACCCCAGCCCACCAGTGATTGTTTTAAGGACTTAATATAATCAACTTATTTAATCCTAATATCACCCCTATAAGATAAATACTATTATCTTAAGGAAACTGAGGTTCAGACAGGTCAAGTACTTGCACAAACGTTGTACCTAGAAAATAATAGAATGAGACTTAAGACCCAGGCAATTCAGCATCAGGGTTCATGCTCTTAATCACTATACCATGCACTGACCACAGAGGGCTTGTACTCTAAGATATTTCACAAGCATCTCTTTTCTGTATATATTATACAATTTCACTCTTCAATACAATTCAGGACCTATACACCAAATTTATTCCTGAATTTTCAGCAAAACCTCTAAGCCTACCTTTTATGAGGAATAATTAGAGAAAAATAAGTATATGTTAAATGTTGATTAATACCAGATTTAGAAAAAAATCTATTGTGATGATGCATTTACTCACAATTATTTCCTACTGAGTTTAAATTCAAGATTGCTTTAGGCCAAAACAAAAAATTTGAATTTTTCTGGATATCTTGATATTCATGTCAAAAGACTTAAACTTGTATGATTTTTAATTATACATGATTATCTTTACTATTTATCGAATATAGTTCAAATCATCAGTATTTACTGAGCCCTAACTATTAAAGAACACTCTAATGGATACTGTAGAGGTCAACAGCTAGAAGAAATCGCTTCTGCTTACACATTTCTCAAATTGAGCTAGGACATACTAACTACCTAAGGCCTATTACATTTCTATGTCCAAATTTAAGAGTGAGATCAGGCATGTAGGCAACATGTAGTAGTATCTCAATGTTATTTTTAATTTGCATTTCCATGACTAAAAATATTGTGCATCTTTTCATGTGCTTATTTGCTATTTGTCTATGTTCTCTGGTGTTCTATCTATTCAAATTTTTTGCTCACTGTTTTACTGGGTAGTTTATCTTATTATGTAGGAGGACTGCATTAGATAATCAGAATACAAGTCTTCTGCAGTGGCACACACTTATAATCCCAGTGGCTAGGAAGGCTGAGACAGGAGGATCATGAGTTCAAAGGCAGCCTTAGCAAAGGTGAGGCACTAGGCAACTCAATGAGACCCTGTCTCTAAATAAAATACAAAACAGGGCTGAGGATGTGTGGCTCAGATAGAGTGCCCCTGAGTTCAACCCCCAGTACAAAAAAAAAAAAAAGAATACAAGTCTTCTATCAGCTATACAATTTACAAATATTCTCTTCCAGTTTGGTTTTTTGTTTGTTTTGGTACTGGGGACTGAATTCCAGGGGTGCTCTACCATTGAGTTATATCCCTAGCCTTTTTATTTTGAGACAGGATCTTGCTAAAGTGCTGAAGGTCTTGCTAAATTGCTGAGGCTGGCCTCAAACTTGTGATCCTCCTTTCATCAGCCTCCTGAATTGCTGGAATTACAAGTATAGGCCACCATGCTCCACTTACATATTCATTTTTTTTTAAAAGAGAGAGCGAGAGAGGGAGAGAGAGAATTTTAATATTTATTTTTTAGTTATCAGCAGACACATCTTTGTTTGTATGTGGTGGTAAGAATCAAACCCGGGCCGCACACATGCCAGGCGAGCGCGCTAACGCTTGAGCCACATCCCCAGCCCTACATGTTCATTTTTAAAACTGTATCTTTTGAGGTGAAGAAGTTTTAAACAGTGATTAAATACAATTTTTCAGTACTTCTATTATGGTTCATAGATTGTTTTTTTTTTGTGTGTGTGTGTGTGTGTTTTGTGTGTGTGCAAACTCATCTACTTATCTAAAAAATCTTTGCCTAACCCAAAGACACAAATAATTTCTTCTCCTAAATTTTCTATTAATTTTATCATTTTTTAAAAAGTAACTTCTTTTAGGCAAGCGCTCTACCATTAAGCCACAACCCCAGTCCTAGTTTTATAATTTTGGTTCATATTTAGGCCCATTATCCATTTCAAGTTAATTTTTGTATATGGTACAATTTAGCAGTCAAAGTTTATGATTTTGCATATGGATATCCAATTTTTTCAGCACGATTTTTGAAAAAACTAAGACCAATGGATTTTAATAAAATAACAGAAGTAGTTCAGTGATATGGGTTCAGATCCCACATTGCAACTAATCTTTAATAAATTATAATTGCCTGAAAAGTATATTAAAATATTTCTACCTTTTTAAATTGTTGTTTGTGAGAGGCCAGCTACTCTTTATATATTATTTCAGACAAAACATGCAAGACTGAAGGAAGAAGCAGAAACAAGAATCTACTTGTGTTTTATTATCCAAACATTTAATTTGTAAAAATGTAATACAATGCTAGTCTTAATTTTCTGAAAATAGTTGTTTCACAAAAATGTTCTTTATATTAATTTTGTATAGGTTTATTATATTTTAAAATGAAGGATTATATAACACTGAAATTTCTTAGCTCTGATTTCAAATATAATAAATATCAATTGATACAATGTATATAAACAATAGCACTTTGAGGTCCTCAACAATTTTCTTAAGAGTGCAAAGGGGTCCATACATGGCAACACACACCTATAATCCCAGTGACTCAGGAGACTGAGGCAGGAAGATCATAAGATCACAAGTTCAAGCCAGTCTCAGAATGCTTGTTGAGCATGTGTGAGCATCCTAGGTTCAACTTCCAGTACCACAAAACAAAAACAGAAAACAAACAACAACAACAAAACCTGATTTAAAACAAAACAAAACTAAACTAAACTAATGTTGTGTATTACTATGAAATGCAAAACACAAATTTAAAAAACTTAAGGTAGACCAATAACACTTCTGCCAAGGAAAACCATCATTCCCAGTACCTAAATCCATAAGCAATGAGCACCAAGCTCTTTTTCACAACTTCTGTCGTCTTCTTCTATATTTCCTTGTACATTATGGAACTGGCCTGCTGACTTCTAAGAAAGGCTGGGGGAAACTATAATCTTGTCAATCCGTGCAAACACAACTAGACTGTCTCAAGGTGAATAATGTACCCAAGGGTCTGAAAGGCCTTTGCACTTGAAACTAGGAACATTAATCAAGATATAAACAAAACATAGTATGTAATTATATGTATGTGTATATACACACACACAAACACACACACGTATTAACCAAAAGATACTCTACATATGATATTGCATATTTTTTAGTAATCATAAAAATATAAGGTGTTTAGACAAATGATTATAATTAATTAATTAATTACATTAACTGGCTTTATGTAGGTTCAGAGCAAACATTACATGCTAAATTGCTATATATTCAGACTACTTTAAAACTTACTAGTACACTTCTTCTATATCTAAAAACCTACAGTCAATTGTACTATATCCATTTTGATAAATCAAATGTTATAGTGATAAGAATGTCTTAAGACTGCTTCAGTCTAGATCTACATTAAAAGTGAATCATTAAAGAAATATTGAGTGATGTCAAATACAGATACCATGAAGGAAAAAAGGTGAATATAAGTAAAGCATGGGAAAGAAAGACAGACATACTAGTAAACTAGAAACACACACATACTAATGCCCGCAAATAACCCACAGAGACAGAGAAAGTACCTGGAAAGCTGTGAGTGCGCCAGTCCCTGGGTTATACAGGCATCGCAGCGAAGGCATGCTGTCCGCCAGGCTGGAGCAGCCCAGCCACAGAGACCTGGGCATAGAGCACTGCAGAGAGAGGACAACTATGAGATGGGACAGTATGAAACAGGATGGCACAGATTACAGGAATTTTCAAGGCTAGGCTGAAAGCAATAATCCAGTTGCAGCTGGCCTTTATGACAGAAACACTTTCAAGAAACATACTACTTACAGATTCTAACCCCAGAGAAAAACTCAAAAGGGGCACTAGTAGCCAAAAAGCAAGGGGAACAAAGAAGTTATAGGTTAAAAATACACACACACACACACACACACACACACACACACACACACACCAGTAAGTTTTTGTCCCTATTCTTCTATTTATTAATCTAAAGGAAAACTACTTCTTAATCCAACTGATCATTTTTTTTCTTTATACATCTTATCTCCCATAAATTCACAAGGTAAATATTATGCAGACTAAGCAGAAAGAATACCTCCTAAGAATATCATATTAGGAAATTAGAAAATTAAATACCACAGGAAAGTTAAGAGTGTTTCTAGAAGAAAAAAAATATTATATCCCTACGACTTTGATAACAACTAATTCTGCAGAGTTTGCATAAGTTTTATGTATCTTGTTACTCTGTTATTCATTAACCAAAACACATAGTTACCATAGCAGCTGTCTCTTCAGCTTTCCAGATGGATTAAAGGGGGATGAGGCAAGAAACAACCCAAACAGAAGGGATAACAACAACAAAGAAAGAGAAGAGACTAAGACAAAGAGAGACCAGAATGTTCTTGGTCTTAAAACCATCCAAACAAAAAGTTTATATGTAAAATACATGTGTATTCAGTAGCAAACAAAGGTAGAAATTACAATTTCTAGTAATCCTAAGAAAACAATATTAATATTATTGCAGTATTACTGAGTTTTATAAGACACTATGTCTTGTGGAACAGTTTTTATATTTTTTCAAGATTCTCTGAAAGTATTCCAGGCTAAAGTTCTGTCCATCAGCTTGAATGCTATATAGTATAATAAAAACTAGAATACTAAATACCTAAACACACCCAATGTATATATATTTTCGAATATAGCAATATACACATAACATTAGACTTTAGAGATTTTGAAATAGTTATTATCATGATGGCCTTTTATCTTCTGTAACCCCTCTAGTAGAAATGAATATAGGAAGCAAAATACAACATTCATGGTTCACACAGACTATAATTAATATATGGATAATAGACTGAAAAGGACTTCCGAAGATATTCTAATCTAGACCTCTGCCCTCAGATGATTATCCTCATTTTACAATTAAGGCAATCAATGCACAAGAGAAAATAAGTATTTATCCATGTTCATGAATTTAAAAAGTAGAGAACAAGGGACCTACTGTTTTCTAGTGCAGAACTCTTCCTCCTGTCTTGTTCATTCATAAGTCATAAAGTAGACACGTCAGACTTCGAAAGAAAGGTATCAGACAGAGAGAGAGAGGAAAAAAAAGGTATCTGCTAAAGTCATCACTGGATTAGAAAACTAAACAAAAAACAATGAAATCACCTTGAACTGTTATAGCAATGAATATTGTTCATCATTTCCAATGTTCCTTCATCTCAAACTATAATCCATTTTTAAAACAGCTAAAGAGAACAGTTGTCTTCATTTTATCATGTTACTCTCATCAGTAAATTGTAATGGGGGTTGGGGTTGTGGCTCAGTGATGGAGTACTTGCCTAGCACATGTGAGGCACTGGGTCTGAGCCTTAGCACTACATAAAAATAAATAAATAAAGGTATTGTGTCCATCTACAACATTTAAAGAAACTAAAAATAATAAATTGTAATTTATTATTTGTATCCCTTGTATCCCTTGAAGATGCTGGTAGGATTTCCCCTTCCTCTACTGTTTTCTCTTTGTTTTCCACTATACAAAGTCTAATCTGGGACAGAAAAGATCCATTCTTTATAGGACATAT